AGAAGCAATGACAATCTAGTAACAACAGGCATACCTAGAACCCATATCTTGGTTTCTAATACTATTCTCCAATAAAACAAACTAAAAGTCCTTTCAAAAATAGCTGATTCTATGATGGGCAGGAAATACAAGAGATGAGCCTGGAGCCTCTTATTGTGCCAGAAAGTAAGGAAGTGCTAAACACACACACACATATACACACACACACATTGAAGGAAATAAGTCAAAGCAACACAGGAGCTAACCAAAAGAGCATCCAATGGTCAAAGCTGGAACAATTTGAACAAAATAAATAGCATAATATTGAATTATAATCCAAAGTATAAAATAAATATTTATGAATACACACTAATATAAAAAACTGAATAGGTGCCTGCCAGGTGGTACAGCAGTTAGGTTCGCACGCTCTGCTTCAGTGGCCTGGGGTTCAAATCCCAGGTGCAGACCTACACGCCACTTATCAAGCCATGCTGTGGCAGGCATCCCACATATAAAGTAGAGGAAGATGGGCACAGATGTTAGCTCAGGGCCAGTCTTCCTCAGCAAAAAGAGGAGGATTGGCAGCAGATGTTAGCTCAGGGCTGATCTTCCTCAAAAAAGAAAAAACAATAAATTAGGGAGAATAAACCAATTTCTTGTGCAGAAGAAGTAAAAACAGTCTTTGTAGATACTTTGGCTCCAAGGGGGTGTAACATAACTCCTCACTCCTCCAGTGTAGTCTGTGCATAGTGACTTCCTTCTAAAGACTACAGTATAAAAATGTCAGGTGGGAGGAAAAGTAACTTTACAATGGAGAAGCCTGACAAACACTACCTCAGCCAGATAATCAAGGTTAAAATAAATAGTAATATATCATGTTGATAGTATGTACCCTTGATGTGATATGATAAGAATAGAACATTACCTCTGTGGTCTTTCTCCCCAAAACCCATAACGATGGTATAGTCATGAGAAAATAATTAAACAAATCCCACTTAAGAGACACTCTACAAGATAATTGATCAGTTCTCCTCAAAACTGGGAATATCATCAGAATAAGAAAAATCTCAGAAAGTATCACAGTCAAGAGGATCCTAAGTAGACATGACAATTAAATATATTGTGGCATCCTGTATGGGATGCTGGAACAGTAGTAGGACAGCAGGTAAAAACAATGAAAATCTGAATAAAGTGCAGACTTTAGTTAATAATAATGTATCAATATTGATTAGTTGTGTGACAAATATACCATAATAGCATGAGACGTTAATAACAGGTGAAATGGGGTAGGGAATATTTGGAAGCTCTATGCTATCTTCACAACTTTTTTTGTGAATCTAAAACTATGCTAAAATAAGTTTACTTTTTAAAAGAAATAGAAAATCATTCAGTGCAATCCATCATATTAACATAAGAGAATATGAATATCTCAAAAATAAATAAAAAGCCTTTGATAAAATACAAAATCTATTCCTCATAAATCTCATGGGAGCTAGGAAATGAGCAAAATTCTTTAATGAGATAGAAGGTATTTATAAAATAAATCAATTGCAAAGTCATTAGCTTTTCTCCTGAAACTCGGAATAACACAGGAATTTTCTGTCACCATTTCTATTCAACACTATCCTGGATGTCTTAGTGCAATAAGTTACAGAAAATGAATAAAAGGTATACAAAGATTAGAAATGGAAAGGTGTAAATTTCACTATTTACAGATAACAAAATACTGTCTATATATGCGTATGTCTGATAGTATATTTTTATATATCTATATCTATCTCCATCTATCTTTATATATCTATATCTCAAAGTGATCTGAACATGAAGAATTAAAATTAGGGTGTTAATTTAGCAAAGTTGCTATATTAATAGCAAATAAGTACAATGAAATGTATTTCTATGTGCAATAACAAAGATGAAAAATGAAGATTTAAAAACATAACATTTTCAGAAACATCAGAAATATCAATTACATAGGAAAAGTTCTACCCACAATATTAGAAAACATTATTGAAAGGAAGTAAATAAACCTTACAAATGAAGGGATGTAATATATTCAGTTTGGGAGATTCAATTACACATAGATGGTAATTTTCCCCCAAATTCATTTTAAAGGTTCAACACAGTAGCATGCCAAATCAAATCCCATTAGGCTTTTTAGAAATTGTAAGTCTGATTTCAAGAATTGTATAGAATGCAAAGACAAGAAGAGCCAAGGTCTTCTTGATGGAAATGAACAAAGTTTCATGAGTTACATGGCAAAATTTCCAAGCCTTTTATAAGATTACAGTAGTTACAAGTGTGTACTGACAAAAGATAGAAAACCATCCCAATGGGAAAAAAATAGAGACTCAACAAACAGATATATGATTACCTGATTTATAATAGGGGTGCTACTGTTGCATGATGAGGAAATGATGATCTGTTCAACAGTGGGTGCTAGATATATGGGATATCAATATGGAAAAAAATTGAATCCCTTTTCAAATCATACAGAGAAATAATTTCTAGGTGTAATGTAGACTTATATATAAAAGGCAAAGCAATAGAGCCTCTTGAACACAACATAGGAAAATGTTACCATGATTTTGGTGAAGGCAAAAAAATTAAAATTAAATACAAATAGCATTAAACATAAAGAAAAACATTGATGATTGTTTTGTATCAAAATTAAAGCTTTTGTTTATCAAAATGTGTATTCAATGAAAAACAAAGGACATAGTAAACTTTTACATGTCAAAAAATGACAAAGAGGACATTTAAACAAGTACATCACAAAGGAGGATATCCAAATGGCTAATAAGTATATGAAAAAGTATTCAAGGTCATTAGCCATAAGCGAAAAGATCATTCAAACAATAAACACTTGCCAGGTTATATAAAATTTAAAAATCTAACTACAGTCATGTGTCACTTAACGACGGGGATACATTCTGAGAAAAACATCGTTAGGCAATTTTGTCATTGTGCAAACATCATAGAGTGTACGTCCACAAACCTAATTGATATAGCCTACTACATACCTAGACTATATGGCGCTAATCTTATGGGACCACTGTCATGTATGCAGTTCATTATTGACCAAAACAGTCGTTTATATGCAGTTGTTGTGTGGTGCATGGCTGTGTAAGTCTGTTTAGAATACTCTTAGACAGTGTCCACTAAGATACTTCCAGGTACATAGTTAACAAAAATTTATCATGCATGCCTTAAAATACACACACATGAATGCTTGCAGTGGCACTAACAGCCAAAAAACTGAAAACAAAGTCCCCATCAAAAGTTGGAGGACTAAATGAACATTGGAATATGCACACAGTGAAACAGATAGATCCTAAGGAAATGAAAATGAAGGGGCTAACGTAGCAGGTAGAGGAGAACCTCAACAGGGAAACTATCTTCAGTGCTTTCTCTTGCCCTCGGACTATTAAATGACCCCAGTAAGGCAGGGGGCTGAGTATACAAGCTTTGCCCATGCAGGGGAGTGCTGGGGAAAAGATAAATGACCACATACTGAATGACCACATTTGTGGGAGTTGGACCAATAAGCACAATGCTACTTTACCAAATTCTGGTCTGCAGAAGGCTGGATAATAAATACCTAAACAGTATGGAATAAAAAGCTAAAGAGCTAAGCCAAAAAATTATTTAGCACAGGAATGAATCATCCACAGTTTTCAGAGTTGAGCTGAAAAAAGAATCCACAGTAGCAACAAGTAGGAAACACAAGTAGAATGAAAATTACCAAAAATGAAAATTAATCTGGACTCCTCTCAGTGCTTACAGAGAGATACAATTTCAAATAGAACTGTAGACTAACAAAGACTAGCCTCTAAGATATTTAGGTTTATTATTATTTCTCTTTTTTTTTTTTTTGAGGAAGATTAGCCCTGAGATAGCATCTGCTGCCAATCCTCCTCTTTTTGCTGAGGAAGATTGGCCCTGAGCTAATGTCTGTGCCCATCTTCCTCTACTTTGTATATGGGACGCGTGCAGTAGCATGGCTTGACAAGCCCTGAGTAGGTCTGCACCTGGGATCTGAACTGGTGAACCCTGGGCTGCCAAAGCAGGACATGCGAAATTAACTGCTGCACTCCTGGGCTGGCCCCTAGGTTTATTTTTTAAGGGAATATGAAAATTAATATGGCTAATTCTCTATGAGTGACTCACATAGACATTATGATCCTTATGAGAAACACTATTTTATGCCTGAGTTTTGCTTTGATTGAAATTAAGAAATCTTGATTTCATTGGTATTATTTCTATGGTGAATTATTTGGTTGAATCTAAATTCACATATAGACAAATTTGTTTCTGTCAGTTTATTTTGAGTTTGCCAAGGTGTTGTGATACTTGTGGATCATAAACTAACTACTCACAATTGAAGAACCTTGGCAATTGCAGCCAGAGGTTTGAGATTCGGGTATATGCTTTGCCTATGATGTGTGAGATTGAATAAGAGTAGCCTGATTCCTGATATCTAGCTTCTGATTATCATGTGGCTTCATTAGGTTAATTTTAAGAGGAAAATATATGCTATTCATGATGCCATTTTTTTCTGTTCTGGCTTCCAGGAAGGTACAGCCAAGGGCTTGTTAATAATAAGATTTTATTTCTTATTCATAAAGCCTCCTGACAGGTTCTTGAGGCCAAGGTATATTATTTGCTTTGACTTGACTGTGTTTAGTGAATCGCTGGTCTATTTACAAGGAATGTGGTCTTTTTTGAGTAAGGACAACCAATATCCCTCATGTAGAAATCACAGAGGAACATGAGCAATGCAGACATGAGAGACATAGATTTCATCTTTGAGTACTGTCCAAATCCTGTTCTCATAGACAAAGACAAATGGAGAATAGTTTCCTTTAGTTCACTTCCCCTGCAGCACAATTAACTACCCAGTTGTCCTGCACTGAATCTCTCAGATCTCTGGTCAATCTGGCACCGGAGTTTTAAGGGTGCCATCCCTAGTAAGAGATTTCAGGATAAAGATGTTGTAGGTATGGGAGGTGCCATGGCTTGAGTGAATGATGAGATCTTTTCTTGAGGAGATGTAACGACATAAAAATTATGCTCAATAGGATCACACTGAGGCCCAGCAGAGGTGACAGTCGTAGATCATGAAGTGTGTGTGTGTGTGTGTGTGTGTGTGTGTGTGTGTGGTGGGGTGGGGGTTCTTAGCTTCACTAGAGTATAAATTCTATTTGGGGGCTTTAGATAATAAATCCCCTGTGGGAAACTCCACCTCTTTCTTTCCTTTCCCAGCGAGTGACACTTTCTTTTATATTAACCAGTTTGGGGTGCTTTGTTCTCATAATTTTTGGAAATTATACCTCACTTCTTTTTTTACATCGCGTGTTGCAGTAAATCTGGCTGGCAAGATTTGCACCATTACATGGATTAGGGCTGCCTTTGGTAACTGAGAAATTCCAAATAGACCTTTGAACTAGTAAAGACTTGTTTCTAGGGCATTTAGAGTCATTCTTTCAGATAACATGAATATCATTCTGGATTCTTCTCTATGAGTGGTGTATATGATGGAATCCTCATGAGAATTTCACTTTTCACCTGAACTTGCTTAAACTGAAAGATGAAAAAGTTTTGTGATTCATCAATATCCTTTCTATGGTACAATGTTTGCTTGGGTCTAAATGCTCAAGTAGACAAATTCAGCCCTGTCATATTATCTCAGGTTTTCAATGTGTTACACTTGTGGATCATTTTTGGACTATGAATATTCAAGAATCCTGGCAATTGCAGCCAAAGGATTGAAATCCAGATATTTGTTAGCTCATTGGTTGTAAAAATCAATAAAATTAGGAGCTTCCTGGTATCTTATTTAGTTTTTAGTAATAGTACCCATGAGACAGTTTTCATCCTTGACTACTGTCAAACCTTTGTCCTCTTAGATAAAGACTACTGAACAAGAGGACTTTGTGGCCTCCTACATGAGAGAAACATGAAAGCTACTCACACTAGCTTCACTGAATCTGCCCAAACTCCAATTGTTTTCGGCACAAGGGTTTAAGAATGCCAATACTCATTAGGATTTTCAGGATCAAATAGATGTATAAGGAGAGTGTCATGGCTTGGGTCATGAGGAGATTTAATGACATAAAAATTATGCTGGTACCCAGCATGAGTGCCATCGTTGGGAGGAGATGTAGGAGTTTTCCGGGCTATGCAAACAGCTATGGAAGCAGGTATGATTAAGAGAAAAGCACAAGTAGTCATTGAAAATTTGGATAAGAGACTGTCATACAACGAAAATATCAGGTTGGACAGTGGTTGCCCTACTAACTTGGAAAAAGAGAATAAAGACAGAGTCATGCTGCTAAATGGCAAAATGGGAACCGAAACTACAGTACCATAGAAACCAACTTATTTTTTTTTTGAATATGAAGAATATCAGCCCTCTTCTTTTTCAACTCCAGCAACTCAAATGCCTGTTAGAATGTATTCAAGATTGCTGGAAGGACTGAAAATAGTAAGGGTCTGTATGTCCTTTTCCTTAGCTAAGATGGGCTAACCTAAGAATTCTTTTCAAATACTCTGGAAGGAAATTAACAAAAATTTCCTGAGCTGCTGCAATGTGTTTTCAATCTACAACTCTATACATGTGGGTGCATATTGGCTCCTACATAGGTTGTTGCCTGCAGTTGACTGTCTTTGAGTAATGGAAAAGGCGCAAAAGAGGCAAAATGGTAACCCCCACATCAGGGAGTGCCAAGTCATCAGGAATCCAACTATATACTTCCTCCAACAACTCAGGCTAGTCTTTGTACCTTGGAAACTCAACACGAGGGACTGCTGACTGGAGTCCTTGAAACCTTTCTGCAGAAAGTGAACTGGGAGAAGCTAAATGTTGCACTCAGAAACTGGGTGAGTCCTCCATTGATTTTTACCACAGTTCACTGAGGAATTTTCTAAATTTACAAATATAAATCCATGTGAAGATCAGAGTAGACCCTTGAGTCTATACATTTTCAGGGCACTTTTGTTGCCAGGAAGTCAAATACAAACAGGAGAAAAAGTAGGTTGGTGGCAAGGACAGATAGTTTCTCAAATAATGGTGGCAGCAATTCAGCTTTGGGATAATATGTAGGAAGATAAGACATAAAGAAACTTAAGACTGCAATTTTAACTGCCCCTTATAATGATTCACAAGAGACCACATCCTTATTTGGGGTCACCAACAAATAAGAGGCAGTCACTAATGAAAAGTAAATAAGTCACTATTGAAAAATCAAGACATTGCAAAAGGAATGCTGGAAGAGACTGAGGAAAATTCAAGGAACACAATCAAACTCTGAAGTTTTACCACCTCCTCAAGAGGATTCTCCCCACCCCAGGAAATCAGACAGGAAATAATTGGCAAATGGTGTAAACTGATGAGCAAAATTGACATAATGAGGGAACCTCAGAACTGGGAATGGGATAAACTTAGGTATCTGTTCTTTTCCTCATCTTATTTTTTCCTATTCTTTCTTGTGCATACTGGAGCCATGAGTTCTGCAATTTCTACTGACCTTTGTTGTTCAGCCCTAACCCAGAAAAACATCTAAGGTGTGGGTGTTTCTGGACCTTCCACCTGTTCTCCCTTAGAGATCCCCCCTTAGAAGAATATGCCTTGTCTTCTCACGTGCTTGATAATCTGTTAGGAAGTGACCTGCTATGTAAACTAAGGGCTGTGATGTTCTGTACTCTGGATGGGGTGTTTTTGGAGCAGCTGGGAGGCAATGTATCTAGGCTGGTAAATATGTGCTTTCTGAAATAAAAGAGGGCTATGGGAGAGTGGCAGTCTTACCCAATGCTGAGAAGTTCACTCAGATTAGAGGAAATAGATCCATCATGATGGGCCCTCAGAACAAATTATAGCAGTTTCATAAAAGGGATCAATTTCATTGCTATAGTTTACAATAAAGAAAAACCATGGCCATATATAGAATATATTCTCTATAACTCAAACACAATGGATACAACTGGTAATTAGAGAGCTGTAAAAACAGGGCATAATAAAGAAGGTATATTTACCTTGTAACTCTTCCATATTACCTGTCAGAAAGGAAGGAAAATTTGACAAGAAGGGTCAATCTGCTCATGGATTTGAATATGATCTAAGAGAAATAAATAAGTTGTGATTTCTCTAACACCTGTGGTACCCAACCTTTCTAACTATCTTAACCTCTGTGTCTGAGTCAGCTAAATATTTTTCTGTAATAGACATGTTCAGCTTTATTTTATTTACCTTCAGCTAAAGAGTCAAGGTTCCTCTTTGAGATTACCTATGGAGGCTTTCAATATTTGTGGCAGATGATTCCCCAGGGATTCTGAGATGTACCCACTGTATTCTCTAGGCATTTATCAGAAAACTTAGAGAATTTTCTCTACCTTGAGGTTCCATGCTAATTCAATAGTGGGTGATTTATTGATAGCTGCTAATAACTCACATGCTAGTAAAGAAGATATTTTAGCTTTATTAAATTTCTGTAAGTTGAAATATTATCAAACTGAAGTCAAATATCTGAGATATGTATTATTGGCCAACAGATGGAAGATGGTTTCATCCTGAACTCAGCTTAATATACAGTTGAAACAATGGACCACAAACAAACAAAAAAACCTCCACCAATTTTGAGGGTTTGTTGTGGATCCCTGCCTCTTATGAAAAGGCTAGGCCCCTCCTGAGATATTACGTGAAATATCAAAATTGTAGTCAAAATAAGATGAAGAAGCCTTCACACTTTAAAAAAGCTGTTGTTTTCCCATCTATATTAGTTCTTAACTTTGATAAAACCTTCTACATTTTCTGTCATGAGATTAACAGTGCTTCTGATAGTGTGCTTATTAAAAATCAGGCCCTCATTATAGGCGTATTGCTTACTTTTCTGTGTTATTGGATTTTGTTGCTCTGGGAATGCAAGGGTGTTTATAAGGCATAGGAGCAACAACTCTCCTGATTGAAAAGACTCAGGCTTTGACCTTGGGACCCTTATCACAGATTATTTCATTGTTATTATTTTACAAGTTCTTAAGATTCATGCATTTCTCAGTGTGCTACCAGACTAGCATGAATGAATCTTATTGTTTAATCTTAATGCTATTCTGGGCAAGTGTAACCTTTTTTTCCCCAATAATTTTATTGAGATCATAATGGTTTATAACATTGTGTAATTTCAGGTGTACATTATTATTTATCAATTTCTGAATAGAGGTCATCCAGCTCACCACCAGTAGTCTAATTTTTGTCTGTCACCATACGTATGTGCCCCTTTGTCCCTTTCACCCACCCCCAAACCCCCTTCGCCTCTGGTAACCACCAGTCTGTTCTCTTTATCCATGTATTTATTATCTTCCATATATGAGTGAAATCATACAGTATTTGCCTTTCTCTGTCTTATTTTGCCTAACATCATACCCTCAAGGGCCAACCATGTTGTTGCAAATGGGATGATTTTGTCTTTTTTTATGGCTGAGTAGTATTCCATGGGGGGTGTGTGTGTGTCTGTGTGAGAGAGAGAGTGTGTGTGTATACACACACACCACAACTTCTTTATCTATACTTCTTCTTTATCCATTCATCCATTGAAGGGCACTTGGGTTGCTTCCACATCTTGGCTATTGTGAATAATGCTGCAATGAACATAGGGGTGCATAAGTCTCTCTGTGTTGTTGATTTCAAGTTCTTTGGATAAATACCCAGTAGTGGGATAGCTGGGTCATATGGTAATTCTATTTTTAATATTTTGAGAAATCTCCATACTGTTTTCCAAAGTGGCTGCACCAGTTTGCATTCCCCACCAGCAGTGGATGAGGGTTCACTTTTCTTCACAACCTCTCCACCATTTATTAGTTTTTGTCTTGGTGATTATAGCCATTGTAATGGGCATAAGATGATATCTAAGTGTAGTTTTGATTTGAATCTCCCTGATGATTAGCAATGTCAAGCATCTCTTCATGTGCCTATTGGCCATCTATATATCTTCTTTGGAAAATTGTTCATTTCCTCTGCCCACTTTTTGATTGGATTGTTTATTTTTTTGTAGTTCAGTTGTGTAAGTTCTTTATATGTTATGGAGATTAACCCCTTATTGGAT